TCCAGGGTGACGTGTATTATGGGATCAAGCCAGAGCTGCTCGTCAGGGTCCTTCCGGTTAAGTTTCCATGGCCTGTGCCTCTGGAAGAAACTGTTGGTCTGCCTTACACACAGGGTAATACATTCTAAAGCCTTGTAGATCTGGAAACCCTCAAAGTAATCAGCCACCTGCAGAGGCAGAGAAGCCATGGATGCCAGGAACTCGTAGTCTTCAGCAGAAGCTCTGCCCGTGCCTTTTGCCTCCCTGGAATCCGAGATCTTTGGAAAACAAGACTCTGAGAAACAAGGGTAGGTGTTGCTGGGGTTAATGCTGAGGGCTGTGGACCGATTCAGAAGCCCCCCAAGCGCATCTGCCAGTTCTGAATTCACCACCTTAAGGACCTTCTCATGGTAGTAGTCACAGTCCCGCTCAGGCACGCCCTGCCTTAGCAGGAAGTACCGAAACCCATCCACAGTGTACTGTTCCATACAGGAGAAGGGGTCAACCACGTTGCCCAGGCTTTTTGACATCTTCTGCCCGCAGACAGTCCAGTGGGAGTGCACAAGGATCCGCTCGGGGGGCCGCAGCCCCACTGCCATCAGCAGAGCTGGCCAGTAGACAGCGTGGAACTTAAGGATGTCCTTGCCCACAATGTGCACGGCCGGCCACCACTCCCCGTGTGCTGTGGGGTAGCCCACCACGCTCAGGTAGTTCACCAGTGCATCTACCCACACGTAAATAGTTTGTGTTGGGTCACCAGGGACAGGGATTCCCCACTGCAGCCGGCTGCTCTCCCGAGAGACTGACAGGTCTGGCAAGTCCTCTTCCAGCCAGCGCAGCACGCGCTGGTAGAAAGGGTTGGGGGAGATGGCGTGTGGGTTCTTTTGGAGCCACTTCCACAGCGGATCCCGGAACGCCGACAGCCTGAACATGTAATTCTCCTCTTTGGTCCAGTGCACCTGGGAAGGCAGGAGCAGAAAGAACGACAGTCGAAACGCGCTGCAAACAGCTTCCCAATTTGCAGGCAGTGTTCTCAGCGAGGGGCTGTCCCACGTTCCCTCTGCCTTTGGGTATGCTCCCCACCACGCGTGAACCCCCAGCAGCTTTCTATGACCAGCAGGAACCTGCTCTCCCGAGACACGCCCTGAGTCCTCAGGCACTTGGGATGGCTCAGCAGCTGCTTTTGAAGGTGCTCGTGCCCCCAGGGAAGGAACACCTGCATACCTTCCTATCTGCCAGGTGTGGCATCAGGCAAGAATTAGAAGCATAGTTTTGCAATAAAAATCATGAGAAGGCAACACAACATTGTTAACTACTGCTCAGGAACACCCCTGGCACATGCTTTGCCTTTCTCCTGGGTGCTATGTTCTTCCTTTCCCCCAGTTTAAGCATTAGTGCATCTCAGCTGCTAACTTGGCTAGCCTGTCACCGCGTTACAGCACTGACAGCACCCCTCTCACACCACCTCGCAAGACCTTCTCCGTTTCTCTTGGACAGTTTGCAGGCAGCTAAGGCAGGTAATTGTCCTCAGGGTGTATTTGCCTCTGAAACCTGCTGACTCTGTTTTAGATCTAAAGAATGATTTCTTGGCCTGAAAACTTATCTCTTCCCCAACTATGTTAGGTGCTTTACCAAGAGATATTATTTGTCTACACACCCCTTTCTGTGCAAACCAACACTCCTGTGCCCCAGCCTCATACAAATATCACAGGAGCATAACCTCTGCCTACCTCTGAAACACAATTATCTGCAACTGCTGGATTAAACCATGTAAGTCCTGACATTTCAGAAAGTGCAGTGGCAGAGACTCTGGGTCAGGCACCCCGCTCCTGCCTGCAGCGCTGTGCAGTCATCAGGCAGAGCACAGGCCTGTAGAGTTACAGTGCTTTATGTGGGGCTGAAGCCTACATAATGAGACTGACAGAAAGTGTCCAGAGGCCAAACATAATCGCCTCACAAAACAGGTCTGAAACTCCCCACACCCAGTGAACGCCCTCACCCTTGTGCACAGCAAACTTCTCCCATCTCCACCTGCAAGCCCCGTTTCCAGGCCAGCAGACTGCAGAGCCAGCCCCAGCTGAACCCTTCCCATGGCTTTGGCAGTGCTCCCCTGCACCACCACAGATTGCTACAGACACAGAGGAGACATTCCGTGACATACAAGGTGAGCCTCGGCTGACGTGAAGCACAAAAGGCCTCGGGAAGCATAAACACCTCCGGATTTGGCCAGAGCAAAGCACCGAGCGCTGTGTCCGTGGGAGCGGGACGGCGCCGGTACCTGATGGCCGGTCTCCAGCGACACCTTGCAGAGGCGCCCCTGCGCATCCCTGCGCTCGGCCAGCTGGCTCTCGGGCAGGAAGCACTCCTCGGCGGTGCAGTACCAGCCCTCGTAAGACCCTTTGTAGAGGAC